GAGGTAGTGGGCGGCCCAGTAAGTAGCAGGCTGGGCGGCCATGGGGGTAGCAGGCCGCGCGGCAGTGGCAGGCCTCGTGTCTGAAGGCCGTGCCATGCGCGTGGCCACAGTAGGCCTCAGATCCCAGCCCCCCAGTAGTAGGCCACGTTTCTGCAGCCCCAGACACGCGGCCCCCGCGGTGCCCCGGACCCAGGCTCCTGCTCCTCACCGGGCCCGGGGAGTAGGATCCAGGGACAGCCTGGCAGGCGGGTGGGAATGCCTGCCAGTGCTGGTGCGGCCCCCAGGGGCAGGGGCCGCATGGGAGGCAGCAGGGGAGACCGCAGGGGGTGCCCCAGGGGGAGGGTAGGCCACGGGGGGTGCCCACACCGGCAGCCATACCTCCAGTAATGCTTGTAAATTGCCTCCACAGGTGCCGGCCACCATCCACGCTGCAGCAGCCCTGAGGGACGCCAGGATCGCCTCAACCTCCATCCCTCAAGCTGTGTCAATCTGCAGGCCCAGGCAAACAGGAGCTGGAGGACAGGAAGCTGTTTGCTGGCCCGAATCCCAAGTGGCACTGAGGTAAGACCTCCCCCACACTAGCTTACACAGAACATAATTCCCACCCACACAGTCTTTCCCATCCAATCCCATGCATCTATCCCCACACTCCTACATGTGCCCTTGTCCGCTTAGCTGCGCTATCTCCCCAGGGCCTTGTACATAGCTTTAATATCATGGATTCTGGACATAGAAGAGGACTTAGAAAAAGGTATTAGAAGACACTATACTGCAGACTCATTGAGGTAGGTCAGATTAGCAAGTGAATGACTCTTAGAAGCTTCCAACAACATGATTAAGATCATGTCAAAGGTTATGGCCTTCTCTGTAGAAGCCAAAAGAGCCTTATGGCTAAGATCCTGGGGAACTGATATTGCATCAAAGCATATTGCATCTATTTTCTCTACCTTTTTCAGGAGTGATTTTATTTGGAAAACCTCTGGAGGAAGCCTTTAAGAAGGCACTAGATGTCAAAAAAGTATTGCTTCCCCAAGATAGAAGACCAAGAAGACCACCACAGAACCGTCATTCTTACAGAGAACACCCTTCTTATAGAAAGAACAAGGCATAAAGACCTGGTTGAGAATACCATCTACTTAGAGAAGTGGTCAAACCAGGAAGTCAACTAGAGTAAATACTGCTTCCTTTCTGAAGGTTACTATGGCTAGACTCCTTTGGTGGGAGCAAGACATATTCATTTCCAAAGGGTTTGGGCAGAGATCCCAGACATAAAGGTAAGATCAATAATTAGACATGTCTACCCTTGAATCCTCAAAAGTCACGAAATAGGTAACCCAACACGCAGAATAATAACCCACCTATAGGTATAATAAATACCTAAATTGGTCCATAGAATACTAATAATAGTAATAAGAATAGAATAGTCAAAAACAGGCCCAATTCAAAGGGAACCAGAGAATAACTAAAACAAATACCAGAGCCGAGGCAAGGGAAACAGAAATCAGAGTAGTCTGGAAAAAAGCAGAGTCAATAACAAAAAAAATAGCACTAAAGCAGTAAGAAACACACTCTTGGGACACTAGTAAACTAGGAACCACAACAGGGCACTGGCTAAATGTTCTTGTGTATGTTTGGGGGCGTGATTGATGTAGTCACGCTCCAAAACTTGAAAGGACGTCTGTAGATCGCAACCTCAGTACTGCCCATCACATGCCGACTGCATGCGTGCACTGCATCATAAAAAGGGGCATGCGCACAGTGGCCGGCATCCTAGAGACTATCCGATCAGGCAGGTAAACTGGTGGAGGCAGTCCTTCCGATCGGAGAAACAGCTGATTGGCGGACCACCAAGGTAAGTATAGGATTCCTTACATTACCACCCTCTTCAACGGGGAGCAGGGACGTCATGAACTTCAGTCCAGGAGCACTCCTCAGGGACATAACCCCTCCAATTCTCCAGATACTGTAGAGTACTCCTGGAGATACGAAAATCAATAATGGACTGAACCTCATGTTCCTCATTATCCTCTATAACCAGAGGTTCTCAAACCAGTCCTCATGGCCCACCAACAGTCCAGGATTTATATTTCCCTGTTTTATTCCAATGGGGAAACTAACAAAACCTGGACTGTTGGAGGGTCTTGAGGACTCGTTTGAGAACCACTGCTCTACAAGGACAGGAGGAGGAGACGGGACATGCCTTGTGTATTTGTTACAAACAAAAGGTTTCAATAAATAAATACAAAAGGAATTGAGGATACATAATGCAGGAGGCAACTGCAACTTGTAAGAAACAGGATTCAAATTACATAATATTTTGTAAGGACCAATGAACCGAGGAGCGAATTTCATGGATTGGAACTTTCAAATGAATCTGATTGGTACTCAACTAAACCTTATTGCCGATTTGATATGTGGGAGCTGCTTGTGTACATTTATCAACTAATTTCTTCGGAACAGAAGACTGACGTGTCAGGATTAGTGATGTCGCGAACACAAAATTTTCGCGAACCGGCGAACCGGGCAAACCGCCATAGACTTCAATGGGCAGGCGAATTTTAAAACACAGGGACTCTTTCTGGCCACAATAGTGATGGGAAAGTTGTTTCAAGGGGACTAACATCTGGACTGTGGCATGCCGGAGGGGGATCCTTGGCAAAACTCCCATGGAAAATTACACAGTTGATGCAGAGTCTGGTCTTAATCCATAAAGGGCATAAATCACCTAACATTCCTAAATCACAATGGATATGGATTGACACCTGACATATGACATACTGACACCTTGACATATGGATTGACACCTGTCCTCAGAGACCCTGATACACACTTACACAGAGCAGAATAGGGACTGTTCCCCCTACATAGGGTCACTTGGCTAATATGGATTGACACCTATCCTAAGGATCCCTGATAAACACTGACACAGAGCAGAATAGGGACTGTTCCCCCTACATAGGGTCACTTGGCAGATATGGATTGACACCTATCCTCAGGATCCCTGATACACACTTACACAGAGCAGAATAGGGACTGTTCCCCCTACATAGGGTCACTTGGCAGATATGGATTGACACCTATCCTAAGGATCCCTGATAAACACTGACACAGAGCAGAATAGGGACTGTTCCCCCTACATAGGGTCACTTGGCAGATATGGATTGACACCTATCCTAAGGATCCCTGATACACACTGACACAGAGCAGAATAGGGACTGTTCCCCCTACATAGGGTCACTTGGCAGATATGGATTGACACCTATCCTCAGGATCCCTGATACACACTGACACAGAGCAGAATAGGGACTGTTCCCCCTACATAGGGTCACTTGGCAGATATGGATTGACACCTATCCTCAGGATCCCTGATACACACTGACACAGAGCAGAATAGGGACTGTTGCCCCTACATAGGGTCACTTGGCAGATATGGATTGACACCTATCCTAAGGATCCCTGATAAACACTGACACAGAGCAGAATAGGGACTGTTCCCCCTACATAGGGTCACTTGGCAGGTATGGATTGACACCTATCCTCAGGATCCCTGATACACACTGACACAGAGCAGAATAGGGACTGTTCCCCCTACATAGGGTCACTTGGCAGATATGGATTGACACCTATCCTAAGGAACCCTGATACACACTGACACAGAGCAGAATAGGGACTGTTCCCCCTACATAGGGTCACTTGGCAGATATGGATTGACACCTATCCTCAGGATCCACTGATACACACTGACACAGAGCAGAATAGGGACTGTTCCCCCTACATAGGGTCACTTGGCAGATATGGATTGACACCTATCCTCAGGATCCCTGATACACACAGACACAGAGCAGAATAGGGACTGTTCCCCCTACATAGGGTCACTTGGCAGGTATGGATTGACACCTATCCTAAGGATCCCTGATAAACACTGACACAGAGCAGAATAGGGTCACTTGGCAGGTATGGATTAACACCTATCCTCAGGATCCCTGATACACACTGACACAGAGCAGAATAGGGAATGTTCCCCCTACATAGGGTCACTTGGCAGATATGGATTGACACCTATCCTAAGGATCCCTGATACACACTGACACAGAGAAGAATAGGGAATATTCACTAAATGCCAAACATTGTTATACAGGGGAATATTCAGTAAATAAGGATAAGGGGGGACCTACTGTCCTCCCCCGTGCCCCCCACTCCTGCACGGTGGGTGGGGGGCATAAATCTCAATGGGGGGGGACCTACTGTCCTCCCGCCCGCCCCCACCCGTGAGCGGTGGGTGGGGGCCATAACAATACTGAGGGGGGGACCTACTGTATGATGTTGTATCTATCAGGTAGTGTAAGGGTTATGCCCGCTTCACAGTGACAGACCAAACTCCCCGTTTAACGCACCGCAAACAACCGCAAACAGTCCATTTGCACAACCGCAAACTCCCCATTTGCACAAGTTTGGATACCAAGCTAGCCATGTCCCGTTCCTTGTCCTCACTGATGTAATTGAAGGTCTCTGTGGCGGAACCAACCTCGCCACTATGCACTGGAGAAGCCTGGTTGCCAGCCTCCTGCCATGTGACTATGGCCCCTGGGATGTATTGCCCTTTAAAGACATGATTTGGGCATAATGGATTTGTGTTGTGCTGCTGCTGGCCCTTTTAAGAACTATCTGGGGACATACTGTGGAGTTACTGGGTGGCCACCATTTCCTGTATCAGAAGCACATGGTGAGAACAATGGATGGCGGCCATTTTAACTCACAGACACTGTGTGGACTTTTCAACACGGTGCCATCTCGCCAGTATTTGTTGCACAGAGACATCGTGCGGTGGTTTTGGACTATACAGCAGGGGACACATTATACAGTGATTGTTTTTTATTTAGCCTGTATATGTTCTGCAGAATCTGCATTAAACTGTATTTTCCAAAGTACTGAACGGATCTGGGTGAATTTTGGATATGTGGTTCACCCAGATCCCCCAGTTCCAAGGATATACTTTTTATGGGGTTATTGCATGTTTTGGGGTCCCTGTGATGTGTTTTATGAAACTGTATTTCTCTGGCTGTGATAATTAGATTACCCATTGTGTTTAGTAATCATATCACAGCCAGAGGGGAGGATTTTGTGTGGGAGTGTCTGGGTGTATTGTATGGATTGATTGGCTGTTTTGTAACGCCCTGTGGGCTGTACTATGTTTGTGGATTGGGAATAAAAGAGACTGTATGTGACAGTACAGGGAGTTCCTGTTTTAACCCTCAAAGTGAAGTGTCGTCTCATTATTGGGGGAAGGATTCATTGTATGCTGTTCCAGTTTGACTGCTAGGAGAGTAAACCTATTCGTATGGTTCCTATTCAACTGTCTACAGCATTCATATGCTTGAGAGAAGGTATACGCTTCTCCGGTTCGGTGATTGTGGTGTCTGCTGCAGTGCTTGGAGTCCTCAGGAAGCGCTAGGAGCATCCTTCAACGGAGGTACCCAGTCGGGGTGCCAGGCGATCCGTTACATTGGTGGCAAGCGGTGGGATGGCGTCCTAGTGCGAGGTAAAGCAGCTCAGAGACACAGTTCGTTTGGATTTACAAATTGAAGGCGACGCTAGTGTTTATACAGTGTCCCTGTCTACATAAAGATTTGGGAAAATGGGGTTCGTGGATCCTTGGGCAACACGCACACCTGAGGAAGAGAGTGAATTGGAATGGAGAGATATTGCCCGGCAAGAACTATGGTACGATGCCCTGGAGGAAGTCCAGTATCAACGGCAGCAGCGCCTTCCTGGTGTCGCATACCAGTTGGAGGAACAAATGGCCTGGCGGATGCCGCTTCTGGGAGACCAACCCGGAGGGCAGCAGGTCAGACAACTTGAGTACCTCGTGGAAAGGGAACTGAGCCTTGACGCCTCATACCGGGCACTGTGGTGGTGCACTGTCCAGCCAGAGACGTGGAGGGCAGAGGGCATCCAGCCGGAGGGGAAGAACTACACTAGCCCTGGCCTGTTGTGGAAGGCATTAGCAGAAGACATTGACTTTGGCAGTCCAGCAGAGTCATGGTACTGGGCTATCTTTTATTACCGGGGTGAGATGGTACAGGGCCCAAGATCTATGGGACTGGGACAAGACCTCCACCGTTTGGCTGCCATGGAACGACAGCTAGAGATGGACTATGTGGAACTACTAAACTCATGTCAGCCACAGGGCATGGACACAGAACAGGAAAACTGGCTGGCGGACCCAGACCTGCCAGCCTACAGCTGGGAAAACGCAGCCGAGGTACCCCCTGCTTCACTACCAGCTGCAGAAGTAGGGGACCTCATGGACTGGTCCTGGAGAGACCCACAGATGGCAGGTGGAGATGGGACTGAGAGTCGGCCCAGATCCCCAGCGGCAGTGTGTACCCCAGGGAGCAGAAGGTGCCATCCTTCCTCCCCTAGGGGCAGTGTGTACCCCAGGAAGCAGAGACCGGTTGTCTTGCACCCCAGCTGCAGGACAAAATATTGAAAGGGGAGACAGTTGGTCCCCCTCTCCACCAGCAAAGAGAGTGTCAGGGAGAGGAGCAGGTTACCCCCTCTCCCCAGCGGCAGTCTACAGTTCAGAGAGAGGAGCTTGTTACACCCTCTCTCCAGCGGCAGCCTAACCCACCAAGGGGAGATGGTAAGCCCCTCACCAGCGTAGATGGGACCGTGGTCTCTGCGCCCAAGTTACAGGGAGTACGGAGGGACAGCCCTGCTCCCCAGCGGCTGGAAGTGTGTAAGGGAGAGTAGTTTGTTACCCCCTCTCTCCAGCAGCAGTCTACGATTCAGGGAGAGGAGCTTGTTACCCCCTCTCCCCAGCTGCAGCCTAACTCACCAAGCAGGGATGTGAAGCCCCACAACAGTGCAGATGGGACAGTGGTCTCTGCACATGCACCACCGGGGGTAGGGACAGTCGGTCTTGTCCCCCAGCAGCAGGACTGTTTAGGTAAAGGGGAGACAGTCTGTCTCCCCCTCCAGCAATCAGGCTCCAACCAGACTACTCCCGTGGTAGTGCTGGCACCAGGACAGAGTACTGCTGGTCTCTGCCCACTCAGCAACCCACCCAGTACGCTTACCAGTCACCCACACAGCCATGGTGAGGCACCTGGACACGGACAAAGTTCTCCTCTACCCAGGTGTAGTAGCCAGTTATTGTGGGTGGGCTGTATTACTGATTGTGTTTTGTGGGTGGGCTGCTGGACTAACAAGGGCACTGACCGGCAGGAGGTCAGATACCCTGTTAGTCTGATTGGTAAAGGGGAGAAGTGTGGCGGAACCAACCTCGCCACTATGCACTGGAGAAGCCTGGTTGCCAGCCTCCTGCCATGTGACTATGGCCCCTGGGATGTATTGCCCTTTAAAGACATGATTTGGGCATAATGGATTTGTGTTGTGCTGCTGCTGGCCCTTTTAAGAACCATCTGGGGACATACTGTGGAGTTACTGGGTGGCCACCATTTCCTGTATCAGAAGCACATGGTGAGAACAATGGATGGCGGCCATTTTAACTCACAGACACTGTTTGGACTTTTCAACACGGTGCCATCTCGCCAGTATTTGGTGCACAGAGACATCGTGCGGTGGTTTTGGACTATACAGCAGGGGACACATTATACAGTGATTGTTTTTTATTTAGCCTGTATATGTTCTGCAGAATCTGCATTAAACTGTATTTTCCAAAGTACTGAACGGATCTGGGTGAATTTTGGATATGTGGTTCACCCAGATCCCCCAGTTCCAAGGATATACTTTATGGGGTTATTGCATGTTTTGGGGTCCCTGTGATGTGTTTTATGAAACTGTATTTCTCTGGCTGTGAATAAAAGAGACTGTATGTGACAGTACAGGGAGTTCCTGTTTTAACCCTCAAAGTGAAGTGTCGTCTCATTATTGGGGGAAGGATTCATTGTATGCTGTTCCAGTTTGACTGCTAGGAGAGTAAACCTATTCGTATGTGTGGCGAAACCAACCTCGCCACTATGCACTGGAGAAGCCTGGTTGCCAGCCTCCTGCCATCTGACTATGGCCCCCTTGTGAATTCGTACTTTTGTATGCAATATTTGGGCATGTGACATTTTTATATTGCTGCTACTGGCCCTTTAAGGGCCATCCGTGGACATATTCTGACTGTTAGGAATAATGCCCTTTAAGATTGTGTAGCAAATTGCATTCAGGCTGTATTTAATATTATGTGTTCGGTAAACAGTGTTATGTGTATGCAGCATTCGTCTGATTGTTCGGTAGAATTACTCCATTCATTATATTGGGTGAAACTACCGAACAACCAGACCACCCTGGAGTAAGTGTGCCTCCAATTACCGTTTGCAACAATGTTGCAAACGGGTAATTGGCAATATGTGTAATGTGTGTTTTGTCCTCTGGGTGGCCGCCATTCGGGAAACGAACACGTGGCGGCGGCCATCTTAAACTCCCGAACAGCGGTGTTTTGCCGTCGAGTGTCTGGAACTAAAATCGGACACTCGACTAAGCAAACACCGCTGAGACCTCCAGACTACCATGAATTCGTGTGGAAACTACCGAATAACCCGCCGTTCGGTAGAAAGAACCCCACGAACAAGGGAATTCATACGAATCCTCCCCAAGCTCTATAACCCAGGCAATTCGTGTGTTTCATTCCCTTTTCTGTGACCGACTGCAGGGCCAAAGTACATGGAACTATTTTCGGATACTTTTGCCATGCAGTCGGTCAAAACTTTAACCCTTATAATTCCTGAACCCCTGGTCCGATCTGGGTGATTTTTGGATATGTGTCTCACCCAGATCAGGGCTACCAGGGGATGTAACATTTAAAGGGGTATTCCTATGTTTAGGGGTACATCCAGTATCCCAGGGAATTTGTGTCTGGTACTAATGGGATTATGTGTCACACTAAGGGGAGGAGATGTGTGGGAGGTAACTGGTACATTATTGGCTGGGGTACTAATTGTTGTGGATCCCTCCCTTGCATGGGAGAATGTCTTAAAAGGAGGCTGTGTGAATAAATCTGTCAGATTCTGCTTAACCCTCAAAACGAAGTGTCGTCTCGTTATTGGGGGAATTGGATTGTGTGCTGACTGCCAGGAGTGTAAGCCGTTCGTATTGCTTTTCCTGTTCGGCTGCTTCCAGAGTTCGTGTATTTCTTGTTCGTGAGTTGGGGAGTCGTACAGTTTGGAGTTCGGGAGGTTGGTGATTGCAGTAGCTGCTGGTCTATGGGAAAGGGGATTATCGCCTAAACGGATTTATCCCTTTGTGAGAGAAACGGTCCGTTACAATTGGTGGCAAGCGGTGGGATGGCGTCCTAGTGCGAGGTAAAGCAGCTCAGAGACACAGTTCGTGGATTTACAAATTGAAGGTGACGCTAGTGTTCATACAGCATCCCTGTCTACATAAAGATTTGGGAAAACCAGCACTACTTCAGAGATGGAAGGCCGTGCAGTATCTCACTTTGACGCCAGGCTCCAGCAGCGACTACAGGATGTGATGCGCAGTATGGAGTATCCTATCCCAGAGGAAAGAGAGACAGAGTGGAGGGTGGCGCTTCGTACCAATCTCTGGAAGGAGGACATCGACGAAATTCGACCCTTCCGGTGCGAGGAAATCCTGACCACTAACCAGCGCCAAGCAGAACAACTAGAGCTGCGGATGCCGTTATTGGGAAACCAGCCCTCAGAGGAATGGGTAAGCGAACTGGAGACGCTAGTTGAAACTGAGGTGTGGCTGGATGATTCCTATCGGGCCCTGCGGTGGCATGTTTACCACCTCTACCCATGGCTGATTGAGTACAAGTGTATTGAGGGGGAAGACTACGACGGCCCTGGTTTGTTGTGGGATACTATTGAAACTAGTCTCTGGTTCGGAGACACCGACATTGCTCGCTTCTGGTCCATCCGAGCTGAGCGGGCAGACAACTGGGACCTTACAGAGATCGATGCCATTCAGCCAGATCTATCTTTTCTTGCCAACCGAGAGTGGGAACTAGAACAGGATTATGTTTGCCTATTCCAACGTATAACGCCGCCTGTCTTTGACATGATGGGGCTTATTGACTGTATACCACCGCAAGCATTGAGTTTAGTTCCTCCTCCCCAGCAACCAAGCCTGTTATCAGGAGACTTTGGTACTGTACCACATATGTCCCAACCAGCCCCAGAGATGGAAGACCTTATTGACTTGTCCTGGGAAGACACCCAGCTGGCAGGTGGGGATGGGACCGAGGTCTCTCTACAGGCCCTACAGGGATGCTGGGCAGTCAGCCCAGATCCCCAGCGGCAGTATGTATCCCAGGGAGCTGAAGGTGACGTACTTCCTCCCCAGCAGCAGTGTGTCCTGCAGGAAGCGGAGACAGTCGGTCTCGCTCCCCAGCAGCAGGACAATATATTAACAGGGGAGACAGTTGGTCCCCCTCTCCAACAGCAGAGAGTGTTCCAGGGAGAGGAACCAATTATCACTTCTCCCCAGCAACAGGACAAATTATTGAAAGG